AAAAAAAAAAAAAAAAAAAAAAAAACATTGTATTGGACATGTTGGGTAATGTAATTCTCAAATATCTTGAGATCAAAACAATTGATGTTCATAGTATCTATAAAAGAGACATTATGACCATGCTTTTATAGTTGCCAAAAATTTAGGAGAAAAAATAAATATACTGGCTGAATTACCTATAAAAACTAAAACATTCATTTACTTGTTTTTGGTCTTTCAGTATTTAATAATGAACAGATTTTAAGGCATTCAGAGTCTGCTTCAGTATAGAAATAAGGCCAAACAGTTCTTGTGAATCATTAAGAATATATAGAACAAGCCTATCATTTATATTTTTTAAATCTCCTGATTTATAGTCCAAAAAAATACAGATCTTACTGGGTTTTACTACTGGCAGAAGCTGGGTATTCTTAGGGCCTGATGCAACATACCACTCTTTACATATCACCCAATTGCCCAAAATCTACCCAGAATTGAAGGCTGATCCTGCCAGTTCCTAAGAAGCCAGTCTTGCACACACCAAATTTTTATTTAGGCTTGTTTCCCACTTCTACCTTCCAGTAATGTCTGCCAGAACTACACTTCTGAGAGCCCAGGGCAACAGGCAGAAATAAAATCTCCTTGGCTTATAACAAATGATTGGTTTTGTTCTTCCATATCACCCAGGTTTTCTATCCTCAGAGACAGTATAGAAGTTGAAGTTGAAGATGTGCTGTGTCAAGATCTAGAATCAAGGCTGGGTGCAGTGGCTTATGTCTGTATTCCTAGCAATTTGGTAGGCCAAGGTGGGTGGGATCATGAGGTCCGGAGATCAAGACCATCAGCCAACACAGTGCAACCCTGTCTCTACTAAAAATACAAAAATTAGCCAGGTGTGGTGGCAGGCTCCTGAAGTCTGCTGAGGCAGGAGAAGTGCTTGAACCGAGGAGGCAGAGGTTGCAGTAAGCCAAGATTGCGTCACTGCACTCCAGCCTGGGTGACAGAGATTCCATCTAAAAAACAAAAATCTAAAAAATGGCTTGATAATTCTAAGACAGAATATAGAGCAGGAACACTAAAACCACATTTTGTTACTCTAAATGAAAAGAGTTCAAGGCATTTTACATTTTGATATCTGTGGGGCACTCTCTTAACATGTGTCAGCAATTCCAGGTTTGACTGCACAGCCTTGCTCTCTACCTCTCTCAGTATACGTTTAGTTGTAGAAAAACAATCTGAAACTTTTACAAGGTTTTCACTTACTCTTGCTAGAATGTTCATCTCTTCATCTGGTTTCAATTGTGAGAGTTAACTATGCAGCACGGGTACAATTATGCTCTCTTCATATGCAGAATTAATTTCATTTCTTTACCATAGGTATTTTCAATTTTTCACCTGAGACCACAAATTAATTTCAAAAACAGTATTTCTAATAATTAGTTCTATTACATAGCTAATACTGTATTTGTTTACTTCACATATATGCCAAAAAGAACGAATGACTTTTTAAACGTTCAACTGTTTACTTGAATAAACTGATCTAATAAATTTAATAGACTCAATTATGTCAATTTTATAAAGGAAACAATAACTGAATGAAAATTGGATTAAACAGCATTATCTAATTGAAACAAAATATAAAACATAGGAAATAACATGCATTGAAATTATTCAAGTGTGAAAATTATTTTGTGAATATCATTAAACTTTATCACTTTCATAATCTGAGGGGTTATACAAAATGTTTTATAAAATTAGACAAAAATAATATGTCTATGGTGAGAAACAGGCAAACAGACAACAACAAAAAAGAGAATTTGCACAAGATGACTCTAAGCCAGGAGCAATAACATTTCAGTTAAATGAACTTAATAGATTTGCATTCAAAATATCTGAAGTTTCTGGTTTGCTGGTAAGTTATCAACACGTGCAAAGTTATGTTTTATTCTAATATTTTTCTTCTCAAAGTAGGCACACAACTATAAACAAATATGATTACTGTCTGTATAAATCTGTTACACCTAAAGTTTACAGTGACATATCTGTTATTTAAATCCATGTAAATCAAAACTAAAAATCTGTGTGTGTTTAGCAGACAAGTTATATGTTCAACAAAAAAGGATAAAATTTTGTAAACAGTTGTTCAGAATTCAGAAACACACAGCTCCATTATACTCAAATAATCTTCATTACAACCATCATAATCACCTGTAGTTACAAGAAAAACAACAATGTAAGTTGTAGAAACCATATCTTCCAAATCATTTTAAGTTAAAGACCACTGACAAAGGAATCAGGAGAGAGGTTATTCCACTGTCACCCAATAGTATATTGTTACCATCTGTTATCTATAATCTTGGGTAAGCTGGGATAAGTTAACATCAGTGGCAAGATACACATTCAATGTAAAATAGCCTTAACACAATAATTTTAGTTTATGAAAAATTAAGTTCACACATTGCATTAAAAAGGCATTTGGAACTTCACTGTATTTTAGTTACCCTAATTTGCAAATGGTAAAGCAAATTTCCTTCTAAAATTCAAACTCTTTCTCTTACTATGCAGAATGTTATCCTGATCACTTACCACACACCTATCCTGTCACTTACGATACTGTTGTAAACCAACCACTAAGTGGCCTTTCCACTTATAATTTCTTCATGTATCTTAGATTTCAGTTTTCTTACTCTTCCATGGAAAGGTATACAACTTTGTTCATTTAATCTAGAAGAACCTCTCATTAACTCTGATGCGGCAACCACAGACCATATTCTTTCACATAAATTCTAGAAATGAAGACACAGCATTAAATGTAAGAGTTAAATTACATCAATATTAGCTTTTGAAAATGTATTATTTTAATATAAAAAAGTAGGTTCCTTTTACAAGAAAGTGATCAAAATTGCTGACTAGAAGCAGCTAGACTATGTAGTTCTCACAGAGAGGAATGCAAGGTGTGCATAAATACAGCACCTTCAACTAAAACATACAGGTACTTGCATTTGGACTAATCAAAGAAACAACTTAACTTATGGAGAACAGAGTAAAGCAAGGCAGAACAACGGACCACCCGGGAACATGGAACCAATGGAACCTCCCCACCCAGTAAAGTAGTGAGTGCATGTGTGACCCTGGGAACCCATGGCTCTCCCACAGATCTTTGCAACCCTCAAGTCAGGAGATACCCTCATGAACCCACTTTACCAAGGCTTTCAGTTTAACACACACAGCTTCACTGAGTCTCAGCAAAGAAGCTGCTCAGGCCTGTGCAGAGATTCAAGAGCCTTAGATAATCTGGCTTCCCAGAAAAAGTGGCTGCAACTCCAGCAAAACAGGTTACACCCCTGTACATATCCATAGGAAAGAGGTAGGATCCAGGGGTCTGAGCAGTGACGGTCTATAGGACTCACTTCCACAGTGAACTACTGGCTTAGAATTCCAGTCAACCATTGGAAGCAGCACTGCACCTCCCTGAAATGGAGCTACCAAAAAAAGAAGTGGGCCACCCACCTTTGCTGCTTGGGCAACTTAGCCATTCCAGCCTTCAGGCTTTAAAGAGCCCAAGCTGGGGGCAGAAAGGGATCTCCCAGCACAGTAAAGGTGCTCTAAAAAGACATGACCAGGCTGTCTGTTAAAGCAAGTCCCCAGTCCTGTTCCTCCTCACTGGAAAGAACTTCCCAACCAGGGTCTCTAGCTCCTACCACCAGTGCTCTTTGGTTGATAAAGTTTTTTTTTGTTTGTTTGTTTGTTTTTGTTTTTTTTTTTTTGAGACGGAGTTTCGCTCTTGTTACCCAGGCTGGAGTGCAATGGCGCGATCTTGGCTCACCGCAACCTCCGCCTCCTGGGTTCAGGCAATTCTGACTCAGCCTCCTGAGTAGCTGGGATTACAGGCACGTGCCACCATGCCCAGCTGATTTTTTGTAGTTTTTAGTAGAGACGGGGTTTCACCGTGTTGACCAGGATGGTCTTGATCTCTTGACCTTGTGATCCACCCGCCTCGGCCTCCCAAAGTGCTGGGATTGCAGGCTTGAGCCACCGCGCCCGGCCTGGTTGATAAAGTTTTGAAACCTCTTTGGGATACAGTTCCTAGAGGGAAAAGCAAGCTGCCATTTTTGCTGTTTGTTTGACTTAGCTGTTCCAACCTTCTGGCTTTAGAGCGTCCAAATAAACTGAAGGTGGAAGTGGTGCCTCTGCACAGCAGCGTTGTCCTTTGAAGATGTGGCTAGACTGCTTTCGTAAGTGGGTCCCCAGTTATGTTCTCCTCACTGGGTAAGACCTTTCAACAGGGGTTTCCAGCTACCTCCTACAGGTGCATTCGGGCTGGAAACAGGTCTATGCCTCTCTGGGATAGAGCTCCCAAAGAAAAGGGAAGGCTGCCATTGTTACTGTTTTGCAGCATTCACTGGTGATGACCTCAGGCACTGGAAAATCTGAGGCGACTAGAAACTGCAGTGGAGAACAGCATACTGCCGCAGCCCTTCAAAAAAGTGGCCAGACTTACATGAGTGTCTGTTCTCATATTCTCACTGAGCAGGTTCTCCAGGCCTAGGCCACTAGCCAATCATTGCCAGAGCTACTGAGCCAGAAGCAACTTAGTGGCTCCGTGGACAGAGCCTCCAGGGGAAACTGAAAATACTTCTGCCACTGCCTCTATAGAACTGTCCTTGCTACCGTCAGACTAATAAAAAATCCAAAACACTAAGTGCCTTATTCATACCTCAAGCAAGTTTACCAAGGAGAGGAGGCCCGTCCATCCTCCATGGATCCCACAAATTACCCACTACTCATTACCAGACAGTGATCCCCTAACTTGGCCCGAAGCACAGCTCCTCAATCCTGGGCTGACTGCACTGATTGCTGTCCTACATCTCTCTAAGATGCAGCCCCCAGATGACAAGCAAAGAGGTGGGAAAGCAGCCAGTTCATATGGTGCCCACAGGGTTCAGTGCAAGAGTATCTGTAGTAAACTGACCAGTGATGGCCATTTATCTAGGTTCAACTTTGTCCATAAGAGGCTTTAGCCCTAGGGGAACTGTTGGACCTAATTGCTGCAGGATGGTTTTGCAAATCAGAAGAAGCTGGTCCAACTGAGCACTCCTTGGTCTGCTGACCTCTCCCAGGGACCCAGTGTGGCCACAGATGCTTACAGGGCAGTCTCAGGTACCTTGGGAGCCCATACTACAGCATCTGCACTGATGGGCCGGGCCACGCCTGACCCATGAAGAGCTCCAGCAAGGCAGCCCCTATGACTACCAACCCACATGTTTCTTCTCCATACTGCAGTTTTCTCCATGACCATGGCACCTTCTCATATTACTTTGCTGGCACATGTTTGCAAAGGAGGGTTTGGCTTTGCTTGCCCCACCAGCAAATGGGAACACAGTATGCCCCTGCCACCCACAGCAACTGCCATCATAGATGAAGCTTTGGTGAGCAGAGAGGAAGTCCCACCCCTGCCTTTGTGCTAACTCTGTGTGGAGAACAGGGTATCCTCCCACACACTGAACAATCACTCCTTTTTGGGGGACACAGAGAAGGTATGAAAACCTTTACTGGCCAGCATCCTGCCCCCAGCACCTTTAGTGAAACAGCACACAGTCTCCAGCAGTATCCCTCACTCCCCTCCCAGCTGCTTTGCATCTGCCACTGAGGTGAATGCCCAAAGACAGGCAGAAACCCCATATCCACTAGCACTCTGCTGCAGCTGTGGTACCTTAGTCCCACAGAGTGGCGGACTCCAAATCTCAAGGAGCCAGAGAACACAGTTGGGGCTGAATACATGTCGCCCAGAAATAAAGTATACAGCCTCTGAGTTGTGAGCTAAGCATTGGTTCCTCCACACACACCACCACCACCACGACCACCACACACACAAAAAAAAAAAACTCCCAAGAACAAAGCCTGTCAGCTGAATCCACCTTATACCACAAATACCCAAGACAATCAAATAGGATTAACAAAACCCCAAACCCCAAAGGTCAGCAACCTCAAAGATATTCCTGCAAAGACACAATCAATGCAACAATGTTGAAAACACAAAAAGCCAGAATGATTTCTTTCATCCAAATGACCAAATTACGTTGCCAGCAAGGCCTAAGATGACAGAAGTAGAATTCGGAATATGAACAGAAACAAACTTCAGTGAGCTACAAAAGTTGCATTCCAATGCAAGGAAGGGAGAAAAAAATTACAGAAACTGACAGAAAAAAAACAGCCAGTCTGGAGAAAAATGTGGCCAACCTGATAGAGCTGAAAAACACAATACAAAAACTTTATAATGTAATCACAACTATTAACAGCAGAATAGGCCAAGCAGAGGAAAGAATCTCAGAGCTTCAAAACTTACTTTTCCAAAATAAGACAATAGTGGGGAAAAAAAGAGGAATGAATAAAACCTCTAAAAAATATGGGATTATATAAAGAAACCAAATCTGTGATTAAAGAGAGTGCCTGAAAGCAATGGGGAGAATAAAAACAACTTGAAATACATATTTCAGGATATCATCAATGAGAACTTCCCCAACCTAGATAGAGAGACCAACATTCAAATGCAGGAAATGTGGAGAACCCCTAACCCTAACCCACGAGAAGGTCATCCCCAAGACACATAATCATGAGATTCTCCAAGGTCAAAATGAAAGAAAAAAATATGTTAAAGGCAGCTAGAGAGACCAGGTCACCTCTTAAAAAAAAAAAAAAAAAGCCCATCAAACAACAAACCTTTCAGCTGAAATCAATTCCAACCCAGAATTTCATATCCAGCCAAAGTAAGCTTCACAAGGAAAAAATAAATATGATCCTATTCAGATAAGCAAATGCTGAGGAAATCTGTTACCACAAGACCTGCTTTACAAGAGCTTCTGAAGAAAGCACTAAATGAGAAAAAGACCATTACCAGTCACTACAGAAACACACTAAAGTACACAAACCACTGACAGTATAAGGCAACCACATACACAAATGTGTAAAATAGCCAGGTAAGATCATAATGACAGAACCAAATCCACACATATGAATACTAACCTTAAATGTAAATGGACTAAATGACCCAATTAAATAAGAGTAGCAAGCTGAATAAAGAATCAAGATCTACTGGTATGCTGTAATTGAGACACCCATCATAAAAAAGCTCAAAATAAAGGGAAAAAGAAAAGTCTGCCAAGCAAATAGAAAACAGAAAAAAAGGAGGGGTCACAATTCTAGTTTCTGAAAACACAGACTTTAAATCAACATAAATTAGAAAAAGGAAGAAAAAAAAAAAGACAAGGGCATTGCATAATAGTAAAGGGCTACATATGCACCCAACACAAAAGCACTCACATTATGAAGCAAGTTCTTAAAGCGATCCTCCAAGATGTTAAATGTTCTTCAACAGACTTAACATTTATACTGCATTCATTATTAAATCTCTGATGTTGAACACGATATAATGACTTGTTAAAGGCTTTTCCACATTTTTAACACTTGTGGAGCTTCTCTCTAGTATGAATTCTCTTATGTCTAATGAGGTGTGAGAACCAGCTCGATGCCTTGCCACATTCTTCACATTTGTAGGGTTTCTCTCCAGTGTGAATTCTCTTATGATTAGTAAGGTCTGAGAAGCACTTAAAAGTTTTGCCACATTCTTCACATTTGTAAGGTCTCTCTTCCATATGAATTCTCTTGTGGTTAATAAGCGTTGAGGAGCGGGTAAAGGCTTTGCCACATTCTTCACAGATGTAGGGTTTCTCTCCAGTATGAACTCTCTTATGTTTACTCAGGGCCGAGAACCACTTAAAAGATTTTCCACATTCATTACATTTGTAGGGTTTCTCTCCAGTATGAATAATTTTATGTTTAGCAAGGTCTGAGAACCACCTATAGGATTTGTTACATTCTCCACATTTGTAGGGTTTCTCTCCAGTGTGAATTCTCTTATGATTAGTAAGGTCTGAGAAGCACTTAAAGCCTTTGCCACATTCTTCACATTTGTAGGGTCTGTCTCCAGTATGATTTCTCTTGTGTTTAATAAGGGTTGAGGAGCAGGTAAAGGTTTTGCCACATTCCTCGCATTTGTAGGGTTTCTCCCCAGTATGAACTCTCTTATGTTCAGTAAGGTTTGAAAACTTTTTAAAGGCTTTGCCACATTCTTCACATTTGTAGCATCTCTCTGCAGTATGAATTATCTTATTTCTAGTAAAATCTGAGAACCTACAGTCCTTGCCACATTCTTCACATTTGTAGTATTTCTCTCTGCTAAAAATTTTCTTATGTTCAGTGAAGATTGAGCACAACTCAAAAGCTTTGCCACATTTATTATATTGACAGGTTTTCCTATGGGTAGTTGGCAAACATTGATGAAGGCCATTATAACTGCTTTTCTGTCCCTTGCAATTACCCACACTTTGGTAGTCTTCCTTTAAATGTAAATTATTCAGGTCACAGCTTCTATATTTTCTCAGAATCACTTTTTGAAATGAATCTTTTATGTCGTGCTCCGGCAATATCTCTGCAGTAAAAAGAAAAGAGCCAGCTGGAAAAAAAAAAAAAAGAAGAAGAAGAAGAACAAAATTTCTCCCTCATTAGACTCAGGCACATATACTTTACAAATATAAAATTATACAAAACACATTTACAAGGTGACACAATAAAATGCCACAGGTTCTAACTCCTTTATAGACATATAAACTTAACAGAAATATACTGACCAAAATACCTTTGTGAGAAGTCTAAGAACCAGTTAAGCATTTACAGCACCCCAAATGAGCAAAATGCCAAGAACCATATAAAAGTATAATAAAAATATTTCATATTTACCCACCACAGCCACTCTTCATCCCATGATCACTTTAAATAGACTACCAACTCCTGTAATCCCCCTCCAAAAATAAATAAAATAGTGCCACAGGTGTCCATGCTTCTGACTTTTTGAGATCTTACCAAAGATTAATTCCTATATTCCATGACAGTGTTCAAAGGAAAAGTGGGATACTTTGACAGTTTTGGACAGTTGAGACCAAAGGTAAATGACCATTACAAGAGAAGAAACACTTCAGTATCACAGACAGATAATGGGTACAGCAAGTGACTACAGTACCTCAATAAGAAACATGGGGAATGGCCAGGAGTGGTGGTTCATGCCTGTAATCCCAGTACTTTGGGAGGCTGAGGAGGGCAGATCACCTGAGGTCAGAAGTTTAAGACCTGCCAGATCAACATGGTAAAATCTCATCTCTAACAAAAGTACAGAAATTAGCCAGGTATGGTGCCAGGCACCTGTAATCCCAGCTACTCTGGAGGCTGAGACAGAAAAATTACTTGAACCTGGGAAGTGGAGGTTGTGCTGAGCCAAGAATGCGCCATTGCACTCCAGTCTGGGCAACAAGAGTGAAACTCCGAATCAAAAAAAAGAAAAGAATTTTTTAAAATGGGGAATCTTTTTTAACTAAAAAACACACAAGCCCAGAAAAAACAACCATAGAACAACCTTGAGAGACTCCAAGAATCTCTAGTCTAAAAAATTGATATCATATTCCCCCAGAGAAGAGCCACTTAAAAATTTTGACATGTCGTTTTTTATTATACAAATTGCAACCTAAGATTACAACGTATACAAAACATCAAGATAATATGGTTCAAAGATAAAAAAGGAGTATCTAGAAATTATTAAAAGAGATGTAAAAATTACCTAAGACAATCTGAATTAAAGTCTAGATCTATTAAAATCCTAAAAAAATCAAAATTAGCATCTCAATAATGCTCAATGAGTAAAATGGAAATAAAACAAAATGAAATAACAAAAAGGAAACAATAAAAAGATAAAAAGCACACACAAAAAAAAATTGTGGAGAAGTACCAAACAAGACTAACATGCACTTCAACATTAATAAAACCTATAAGAAAATCAAGAAGCTCAGCAAATTTCAACTAAGATTAACACAAAGAGATTTCTAACAACACACAACATAAACGACATTTTGAAAGTCACAGACAAGAAGAGAATCTGAAATGCAGGAAGAAAAAAGAGATGATGTTATTTATATGCATGTTTCTGCAAGATTACCAGTAAATTTATAAACATAAATGTTTCAGGCAAGAAGCGAGGAGGATAACATAGTTAAAACAATAAAAAAAGTCTAAGCAAGAATACTATATCCAGTAAAAGTATCATTCAAAATGAAAATAAAACTATATCATGATCTATATCAAGATCTAACTATGTTATATCTTCAAGAGACTCACTTCAGATCTAATAAAAAAAACCTGACTGAAAATAGCAGGATGAAAAATATGCATGCAAGTGTTAACCAAGTGAGAAGAGGCTTATTAAGTCAAAAGCTGTCATATTTCATATAATTTACTTTAAGTCAAACTTCATAAGACACGAATTATAGTAAGAGGGTTCATTCACTGAGTGTCTATAAATATGTCTGACATTAGTTTTCCCAAACACATAAAGCAAACTGACAGAATTGAAGCAGAAATAGACAACAATTTAATAATGGAAGGATACATCAATATCCCACTTTCAGTAATAAAGCGAGACAGAAAATCAATATGGAGACAAAAAACTTGAATGCCCTATAATTATACCTAACAAATGTATACAGACAGCAGAATACACTTTCTTTCCAAGAGGTCATCAAACATTTTCCTAGATGGACCACCTGTGACACCACAAAACAAGTCTTAACAATTTAATTAAAATTTTACAAACAATTATGGCCTAAATAGAATGAAACTAGAAATCAGTAACAGAAGCTGAAAAATTCAAAAAATATAAAAATTAAACGACATACTTTTGAGCATGTTTTTTTTTTTTTTTTTTTTTTTTGAGACGGAGTTTCTCTCTTGTTACCCAGGCTGGAGTGCAATGGCGCGATCTCGGCTCACCGCAACCTCCGCCTCCTGGGTTCAGGCAATTCTCCTGCCTCAGCCTCCTGAGTAGCTGGGATTACAGGCACGCGCCACCATGCCCAGCTAATTTTTTGTAGTTTTAGTAGAGACGGGGTTTCACCGTGTTGACCAGGATGGTCTCGATCTCTTGACCTCGTGATCCACCCGCCTCGGCCTCCCAAAGTGCTGGGATTACAGGCTTGAGCCACCGCGCCCGGCCTGAGCATGCTCTTTTTCAAGGGTTGGAAGACCATAATATTGTAAAGGTGTCCATGCTGCTTAAAGTGACCCACACATTCAACACAACCCTTTTCAATTTAAAATTTTCCTTTTCCAAAGATAGAAAAAAATCCAACATAATTACTTAAGATCTCAAGGGACTATGAAAAGGCTGACAATCTTGACAATCTTTAAGAAGAAAAATATTGAAAGGATTACACTTAATAATTTCCAAACACAAAACAAACCTACACCAATCAAAGCACTTCAGTACTGGTAAAAAGGTAGAACATCAAAGTAATAAAACAGGATGCAGTGCAGATATAAACTCTTTAATACATGGTCAAGTGAGTTATTTGCACACCATATTGCAGCATTATGCAGAAAAGCCAATAGGCAAAACAATTTAAACTTTCCTTACCAAATAAATGGATAAATATAATTTAAAATACAAAAAAATGGAATATTAATCAGCTTTTAAAAAGCAGGAAATCTAATATTATAAAGAAAAATTTTGGGCCGGGCACGGTGGCTCAAGCCTGTAATCCCAGCACTTTGGGAGGCCGAGGTGGGTGGATCACGAGGTCAAGAGATCGAGACCATCCTGGTCAACATGGTGAAACCCCGTCTCTACTAAAAGTACAAAAAATTAGCTGGGCATGGTGGTGCATGCCTGTAATCCCAGCTACTCAGGAGGCTGAGTCAGGAGAATTGCCTGAACCCAGGAGACGGAGGTTGCCGTGAGCCGAGATCGCGCCATTGCACTCCAGCCTGGCTAACATGAGTGAAACTCCGTCTCAAAAAAAAAAAAAAGAAAGAAAAATTTTGAAGACATCATGCTAAATTTAATAATCCAGCCACACACAAAAAAATACTGTATGAATCTACTTACATGGAATTGCGAATGTAGTTACATCCTTAAAAATAAAATGATGTGTGTAACGGGTCAGACAACGGGAAAAATGAGTAGTAGATTCATTTGTATAGCATATTTCTTTTACAAAAATAAGAATGTTCTAAAAGATATGTTGCTAACAATGTCAATATATTTAACAAAGCTGAACTATATAATTAAAAATATTAAAGATTACAAATTTTGCTATGCTTTTTTTTTTTCCAGATGGACTTTTGCTCTTGTTGCCCAAGCTGGAGTGCAGTGGTGCAATCTTGGCTCACTGCAACTTCCACCTTTCGAGTTCAAGCAATTCTCCTGCCTCAGCCTCTGGGAGTAGCTGGGATTAGAGGTGTGTACTACCACACCCAGCTAATTGTGTATTTTTATTAGAGACAGGGTTTTGTCATGTTGATCAGGCTGGTCTGGAACTTCTGACCTCAGGTGATCCACCCGTCTCACCCTCTAAAGTGCAGGGATTAGAGGTGTGAGCCACCACATCTGGCCCTTGTATTTTTTAAAATTGAGAATAAAACAATCATTGACTACTAAACAACAACAACAAAAAAAGCAAATATGCACGTCATAAAATAGGGGTAATATTTACATGGGCCAACAGGAATAATTATATTGGCAATATGTATAAGGCTGATTCATATCTGACTTCTGTCCAAACATTGTTTTAATGCACACAGAGTTGAATATTGGTATACAAAATTACAATACATAAAACCTAAAAACACAATTAATGTAAAATAGCCTACTCTAAAACACAAGCCACCGAAATATAAAATGGTGGAACAAAATTTAACAAAAAAAAATTAACCAAAAATATTGAATCAACATAATGTACACTAAAAAGTAATTATTCTAGATAGCCATGCATTTTAACTGACTGCACATTTATAAAGAGAACGGATTTTGGCATTTTTGTTTAATTTCACCTCTTCCTATAGATTCAGTGGCTACATGTCTAGGGTTGTTATGTGGGTGTATTATGTACTGCTATGGTTTAGGGTCCTGCTACCACCACTCAGGTAGATAGCGTGGTACCCAATAGGTAGCTTTTTTGGCCTTGTCTCTTTCCTCCCTTCCTCCTTTAGCAGTCCCCAACGTCTGTTGTTTTCACCTTTATATGCATGTATACCCAATATTTAGCTCTCCTTTTTAAGTAAGAACATGCAGTATTTGACTGTTTTTGCATTAATTTACTTAAAAAAAATGGTTTCAGCTGCATCAATGTTGCTACAAATAACAAAATTTTGGGGGGCTATGTAGTATTTCATAGTGTATAGATACCACATATTCTTTATCCAATCCACCACTGATGGGTAACTAGGTTGATTTCATGTCATTGCTACTGAAGACAATAAAGTTTGAATCACTAGTATACAGTGAAAGTGGTAACATTTTATAGAAAATGCATTATAATCATTTATTAAAAGCTTTGATGAGAAAGTGTGAAGAAATAAGCATTTGAATAATACTAGACATATTATGTTATTAACATACAAGTGCTATTTTTG